CTGTGTGTGATGTCTGTCTGTGTGTGTGTGTCTGTGTGTGTGTGTCTGTGTGTGTAAACGTTTGTGGTTCGTTCCCTCCTTTATGTATGGACATGGTCAGCCAATGTTGAAATCATTCATCTTAATCAATCAGTTGATGTCCAAGACTTTCCCCTGCCACTTTTATGTTTTCGTGCATGCAATTCTCTGTAGCTTGAAATTTTGTGTACTTCTGTCTGTCTTCCTTTTGTTTTTATGCTGCCTGCTTGTACGCTTGCATGAATGTTTGTACTGTTTTGTGCGCTTTCTTTTTGTACGTCACGTGTTTCCGTGATAGTATCATCAGTATCACATTATCTATTTCCTCCACTGGCATGGTTTTCTCGTTATCCTCGTCATCATTATCATCATCGTCATCATCATCGTAATCAATGCAATCAATCATCATAATCACCACCGCCCCCATCATCATGATCATGATGACGCAGGTGAGTGAGGAGTCCTTATTTGGTAACGTCGGTCACAGTGCCGCCATGGAGGAGTTCCTCAACTTTCTCGGGGGTCGTGTCAAACTGAAGAACTTCACGGGGTTAGTCAGTCGGTGGATATGTTGTTGTCGTTGATGATGGTGATGATGATGACGATGATGATGATGATGATAATTATGTTGTTTTTTATGATGATGATGATAATTATGTTGTCTATTATGATGATGATGATGATGATGATAATTATGTTGTTTATTATGATGATGATGGTGATGATAATTATGATGATAATGATGATGATGATAAATAAGTTGTTGTTGTTGATGATGACGACGACGATGACAACGATGATGACGATGTGGCAAACAGGTGGTGATGATGAGGATGATGATATTAGTGTTGTTACTAACTAGGATCAGAAGAACGTGAGAGGCCTGGCGTATCAAATTCCACGCGTTGATAACGTACTCTCACGTTTTAATCTATCATCGTTGGAATTGAAATATGCATCAGCAAATTAGCTCACTCTGGCGCCTATCCAAGTCTGACACAGCAACGCTACTCAATACGCTTTCCTCCGAGCTTCGAAACTATACACACCGTGCGTGTGAAGCATGTGCGTGCGTGCGTATGTGTGTGTGTGTGCGTACGTACGGATGTGTGTGCGCGAGGTACGTAGGTATGTGTGTGCGCGAGGTACGTACCTTGACAATTTGACCTTTTTTAAAAATAAAATTATAATTAAATGAATTAATTAAGCATGCAGAAGAATCATTCAACCAAGTTTCTGTTATAGCAATGACCTTAAAAACGTTAGATAGTAGTGATGAGTTTGAGATAGATAGATCCGATACTTTAATGAATAATGATCGACTGTTTTCATGCAATAAGGGTATGTTTGGAGTTTAATTTTTTGAATATTTAGAATTTATAATTTTAAATAAGTCGGTTATTGAGTAATAATGAGAATTCTACAAAAAGAGATTAAAATATTTGTCAACATCTAAAAATGAACAATTTAAATGATTATTTAACTGAGATAAACAAGGAGTTGAAGTCATACTTTTATTCATAATTATGATTAATTAAGTTCATTGTTGTCATGGTTGACTTTTTTAAAATTCCCATTCACGAATGATGGCGTGTTGAGGTAGGTTGTCTGGACTTTTCAGTTTGTCAGCTTCAGTCGCTTCCACGCAATTGCGAAACATTTGATTGCATGGGCACCATTAACTCGTTCTAAGTGAATATTAAAATCACGACCAATAGAATATGTGATGACAACATTGCAATATGCTCCAATAAAGAAACCAATTCACTGAAGAATGAAGACGTTATTTGATCCGATCCGGGTCGGTATATTGCAACGAAAATGTAACCGCTATCGCCAATGACAAGTTTCACTGCGATCACCTCAAAGGTAGCAATGGTTGTTTCGGCATTATCGTCACGATCATTGTTAGAACTTGGTGCTTCGGTTTTTTTTAACACGTGGAAGCTCGTAATTACTTTAATTTCGACACTTCTTAGGCATCAGCGATGTTGGTCTTCGACCATCTTCCGTCGTTACTCATTGCATCGAACATTTTTTTATCAAAGACTTGTCCGCATTAAGTTTGCCGTTTACTAAAATTTTCTGACCGACAACTTTTGTTTTGGAGAAGATATTTTTTATTGTTTACATCAAAATTGAACTTCAAATTATTGTTAGTGGATGTGTCACCATTTCAATGTTGCTATTGTTGAGTCTGGCCCTTTTATTGTTTCGTAATATCTGTCTGCCATTCAGGTTGGCTAATTTAATCGTTGTGTGTTTGCGAACGATCTGGCCATTTTTTGCTGTTGATAGTGTGCGTGTGCGTGTGTGTTCGCGTGTGTGTGTGCGTGTACGTGTGTGTATTATGTTCAAAAATGGGAAATCGGTATGCACATAATTAAAAGCTGCACATTCATTGTTGATTTCATTGTTTACTTTTGAAATATTAATAGGTCTTAGGCTAGGAGTTGTACATTTGTTGTTTGGTATATTAACTTGTTCAGAGCTATTGCCTGTAAATATATCAAACGTAGGCATAAATTGCAACAAATCATTAGTTTTTAAATGATCAAAAATTTCAACCATGTCCGTTGTTTTATTCAGTTTGGTGTTTCCACGAGTTCCAAAGTTTTTCTTATTTTATTCTTTTCAATGTTTTCAAGTTCATTTAACAACAATTTTTTAGCACTATTAACTTTTTCAAAATTTATAAATTTCCAAAACAGTATTTACAAATTTGTCATTTGAAAAACTTGCAATATTTTCAAAAAAATACCATAAAAGTTCCGAAATCAACATTTGTTTGTGTGTGCGTACGAAACAATTAAGTTATTAATATGTTGTCTGCTTTCAATCTGGAATGTTGATATGAATTGATGGACCAGCAATTGGCTCACGTACTTCCCACCCCTACTTACTTGTGCGTGTGGTCGATTAGTTTCACGTGCTGCGCTGTGTGTTAGTTGCACGTGAGTTTGCTGCAATGCATCACGTAACTATCCACCGCAGTAATATTTAATAAAAATTAACGAAATATGGAGCAGACCTCGCCAACCACAGGCACAGGCAAGCGAACTCACATACTCACTCACAAACATTTATAAATGTGTACACGTTTTATACACGTACACGTGCACGCACCACCACCACCAACAACAACATTCGCATAATTCATTTGTTCGGTGGCATTTATAAATCAATTTGTTTTTTATGAGAAAATTATTATTGCTGCCTACCTCAAAAGACGTTTCAATCTTTACATCGTGTTGTCTCGACAAATAAGATGATGATCACGTTGGGGCCGGTGATGGAGACGACAACGATGACTGGTGGTGATGATAAAGCTGATGACGAGGACAACGACGATTGTGTTTGTGATGAAGCTTATGATTTCATGACCACATATACACGATGAATTGATTTTCACTGATCGATCATCATTTAGTTTTCGGGGCGGCCTGGACACAAAGTTTGACCAGACAGGAGTGGATTCAGTGTACTCAGAGTTCAAAGGTCAGAAGGTCATGTTCCACGTGTCAACCCTACTGCCACACAGCGAATCTGATGCTCAACAGGTTGTTTGCGAATGAGTTCACACGCGCATGGCTTGAATTAATGTGAAGGACGCGGGCACATTGATTTTATGGCTGGTTGGGGGCAGTGACGATTGTAACGAGGAATTGGAGAATTAGTTAAATAATAGCACCATTCGGATCAAATTTCAACCTAGTAACAAATGCATGAATCAAACACGAGCAGACACGTGCCCACCTGCGCACCTACGCACAAACTCGCACTCAAACATTTAAATCGACAAAAACAAATGCATGGCATATAAGTACGCAAATAAATTCACACGTGTCTTTAAACAAATATGAAGCTCACGATGGTGTGGAGGCTGCGGTGCTGCAGTGGCTGGGTCCGAATGTGGAGAGGTCCCCGCTTGCCACTTGCGCTCTGGGAGGCATTGACTCGCGTGTGGTACATTTTAAAAACTATAAAGAGAATCTAAATAAATAAATAATTGTATATAATCAGACAAGCATTCTTAAACACACACACATTCACGCAGTTACAACGCAAGCGACACATCGGCAATGACATCGTCTCCATCATCTTCCAAGAAGACAACACACCCTTCATCCCGAACATGGTGGCATCCAACTTCCTCCACGCCTACATCGTCGTTCAACCAATCAAACGAGTTCCCCGCGTTGAAGGCCGATCAACAAAGGGCGTTTGTAACTGTAGGAGGGATGGTGATCACGTGAATGTGCCTGGTGGGGGGATGGGTGTTCGTGTGGAGGTGCCGGGGACGCCTGCCGCACCACTTTCGATTTTTTCCGAGGTTTCGAATGATCGTGAAGACGTGAAACGTGTTGACGCATTCGGTAATGACGAAGTCAATAACAGCAACAACAACTTCCACGACAGCAAAAACAAGAACGGTGATGACAACATCAACAACCTGACACATGCCGACAACATCACGAACATCAACAACAACAACGACGCTGATAAAAAATTAACAACCAGTGTGGTTTATAACAAATTCGCTGACAGTAACAACACTGACAGCAACATTAATGACACCAATAACAACAATAATGATAACGACAACAACGATAACAACGATAATGGAAATCGTGAACACGGCCACCACGCCGACAAGAAGATTTCGACGGACGAGGCAGACACGGAGTACATGGTGAGTAGCCGAGCCGACAGCACTCAGTGGTTTTCCACCGCGTTTCATAAATAACTCACTTAATTGTTATTGGAATCTTTTCAAGAACAATTTACTTTGAAATGCGATGCATAAAATTTTTTTTCTTCCTTCACAGGAATTCAATTGAGTGTGATTTAATATTTTTTATTTTTTGTTTCTCGTCGTTTCCTCGCTGAAGATGAACTTAGAACACTTCTAAGATAATTTATTGTGAAGGATATGATGATGGCGGTGATGATGATGATGGTGGTGGTGCTGGTGATGATGATGGTGATGTTGATGGTGATAAAAATAATGACTGTCATTTGTTTGATGATTTGAATGATTGAAAAAGATTACATCAGCACCATCGTCAACTATATAGTTGACGATGGTGCTAACCAACAGCACCGACAGTTTAACGACATTGATGTTAGCAACTAACATTATCAACAACTTAAATGAAACATCCCCACCACCTCCAACAGCAGCACACTGTAAACAACACACACACACTTCACTATCCAGGTTTGCGTGACAGCACGAGAAGATGTTCCGAACTTTGGACCCCCCCTACCTCACCCCCCCATCTTCAAGAAGGGACCTGCTTTTAGGGACTTCCTTTTCGCAAAAATGATAAATGCTGAACTTTCATGCTACAAGTCAAATAAGTTCAGCGAACTGGAGGTTAGACGAGATTGTAGTTGTTTGTAGTTGATGATGGTAGTTGGTGTTGTATTTGATGGTCGTGATGAAGATGGTTGATGTTGTAGTTGATGGAAGTGATGATGATGGTGGTTGGTTTTGTAGTTGATCGTGGTGATGAAGATGGTTGATGCAAAATACTTTTATTCTGCTTTGTCCTGTCTTTTTATTATATCTTTGTTCAAAACAAAGGTAGAATAAACAAAGAATAAAAATATAATAAACGGACAGATAAAATTACTGTTAGAAATATCGAAAAGCTCAATCGTAAACATTCAAAAGCTTAAAAGTTTGGTAGATTTTATCAAATATTTCATCATTTATGGTCTCCTTCTAGACTTTAAATAATTGTATGTATATATATATATATATATATATATATATATATATATATATATATATATATATATATATATATTGGATTAAGATTGTCACAAATGCAATTATTGACGTAAATCACAGCATGTTCAGCGTTAGTTGACTCCCAATTTAACTTTTCGATTTTTCTAACGGTTGATCGTAAATCATTTTCAAGTTTCTTTAGTTCAAAACCAAAATTTTTGTTTATTTTATGCTTCATAGAACATGATATACATATTTATTTATTAAGAAATATCATCGCATTTTCCGCATTGTTGAGTTTGTTACTAAGTATTTCAATTTTTCAAACAATTATTTTATCGATATTATTTAATTTATTCAAATTAACAATAAAATTTCTAATTATTTTAGACTGCATTTTCATATATTCCTTTACATGAAAGCTTTTTTCGGTAACCTTTACCATCATCAGTGTAATAGAGTTTGTGATATTGTTATATGTAGTTCATCTGGTATTTATAGTATTTTTTAACAAAGGGACTCAAGTTCCATTGTTTCTTTGTGTGAGTTATTACTTTGTTGGTAGGATCGTTACAGCCTGTTGTTGGATGTTTATTACAGGGTTTCTATTTTTCATTAATAAAGCCTCTGCCATTCTCAAATTGCTTATATTATGGTTGTAAAATAACATTTTTGTATTTGAGTTTAATATTTCCCTTGTTATTTTTATTTGGTGTGAATCCATTAGATGATTTTTTATTGCACCATTTTGTGTATGCATTGTTAACCTTCTTGATAAAGTCGTTGTAGTAAATCCGATATATTCTGTGTTTCGGTGCCTACAATTTCCCGATTTTACAACCAATCTTTATCTTTATTTTTGATTTTAACCTGTAACAACAGCAACATCTTTTATCCAAACAAACAGGACAGAACGAGGTCAGCCCTGCTTGAATCGTTGTTTCAAGATTTGTTGGAAAAGAATGTGGAAATTCAGCGCAACAATGTTTCAGTTTACAGCAACACTTTGAACAGCTCGCAGATGGGCTCTCAATTTTCACTCAACATGTTCTCTAATTTTTTCTGCGATACAAATTGTTCATCGACTCTGAACAACAACAACAACAACAACGCGTCAACAACGACAACCAACAAATTTTTGAATTCCGTCAAGAGAGTCATCGGAGGTGGAAAGATGAGAAGTCAGTCGGTGGACATGCCTCCAACTTCAACAACCACATTCCCCTGCCACTACCACCGCAATCAGCAACTGCAACAACATCAACAAATACATCAACAACAACATCATCAACAACGACAACAGTTTTCTTGTCAGCACGTGCATTCCTCGTGCAGCCTGAACGAACGTCTGGTTCGTAATTCATCGAAGAGAGGAAATCTCGTCCTTCCATCCGTTGGAGAGTTGGATGGACAGCTGGATGATGATGTTGATGATGATGATGCTACTCGTGATGACGATGATGTTGATGATGATGATGGAGAGTCCATCTTTTTCGACGATGTTCACAACAGAACAGAGGTCGGTCCCATTAAAACTTTGATGCGCTCCTTTTTCAAATGAATTTTTCTTACCAACACTTTTTAAAAACATAATGGCAATTATTTTATAAAACTAACTGATTGCATGTACTATTTATTAGTTCTGTTACTTGCTAATGAAATAATCAATTTATTCACTTTCACTAGATTATTTATCAACTACTTCATTCATTCATTCATTCATTCATTCATTCATTCATTCATTCATTCATTCATTCATTCATTCATTCATTCATTATATTTATTAACGTGTTGGTAGATTACTCATTATAGGCTTATAAAATCAAACAGCCGAAGTTTCAAAAACTGAAGGACAAAGGGAAGAGTAGAACGAAACTGCACAAACACCACACCACCACGTTCATGAACATCAGCAACAACAAATACAAACATGAGTAGGTTCACTCACATCATTATTACGTTTAATATCGTCATAGAGGATAATTGTCACTTGTCAGCCATCTCTGCAGTTTGTTTGTCGGATGAGTTTTGTTTGTTTCTAATTTTCGAATGTTTTGTGCTTGTTTGTTTTTGAGGGCCTGTTCAATTGCTAGCGGCCAGAATTTGAAGTGATAAGTTAGAAACCTCTCAAACAAAAACCCTTCAGGCAAAAACCTCCCGTGCGCAACACCTCGAACACAAACTCCGTACTGCAACTTCTCCGAACAGCATCTTTTTCGTACAAAATCTTTCACAAACAAAAACTTTTCCAGACCAAAACTTTTCCAAGTAAATTTTTCAAAACAAAAAACTCCTCAGATCAAAGCTTTCCTTAAAACAGAACAAAAATTCCTGACAAAAAAAAAAAAAAAAAAAAACAAAAAAACATAGAAACTCAATAAAAAATTTATACGATAAAAATGTTCGTGAATTTAAAAAAATGCAGACATTTTATGGCTTAATAAAAATAAATTAACATTTTGTAATTTAATTGAATAAAAAACTATTATTTTAGCAAACTCTTTCCCAAATATTACATTACTACTTAAGAGTTGTTTGGAGTAGTTTCGCAGTTTTATAATAATTACAATTTTATGCAGGAAAAGTTTTTAATTGAGCAGTTTTTGCTCGGGTTTGTTAAATTATCTGGAAAGGTCTGTCCGAGGGGTGTTTTCCAAATAGTTTATGCTTGCAAGGTGTCCAGGTGTTTTTTTCGGAGTTTGTGCTCCACCCTCGAAGTTTTTGTTCTAGGACTCTAATTTGACGATTATTTAAATGGAAATGCTCCTACATATTATTTTAGTTATTAATTTTTATGCAACATGAGAAACTACTTTGTTGTTTGTGAACTAATTTGACACTTCTTTACAAATTTTTTCTTTGAACAGAGAATCAAGTTTACTTTTTATTTTTTTATATTATTATTTATGTTGTTATGAGGTATGAAATATTTCATGTTTAAATACATGTATTTTAAAATCCATTATAACAATGGACGGTAATGGCGAGAATAGCGATAATGGCCTCATTGGTTTTCATTGAAAACAAAATTTTATTTTAGCTCAAAGGATACTCAAACATTAACAACAACATCGAAAACAACAACGTCAACAACAACAACAACAACATCTGCCAAGCAGAAGAAACACAGATCCTTAGGTCTGAGATTGAAATCACTGCAACCGACAGTAATCGAAGGCAGCAACAACGACAATATTGCTTATAACAACAACAACAACAACAACCTCAACAACAATAATAATAATAATAACATCTTATCATCACCCTCGACGACATCTCCTAATTCCAGTCCAGATCCTGCAACCGATAAGATGAAGTAATGAGATGCTTTTAATCTTTCATCATCATCCTCTCTACGTTTTCACGATTGTTTATTGCATTGTTTTTCTTTTCTCTTTTTAAACATTCGTTGGTTCATTCGTTTCTTCATTCGTTCCTTCATTCATTCGTTTCTTCCTTCATTCTTCGTTCATCCATTCATATTTTTATACATTCTTTTCTTCCAATGACGTTTTCAGTTTATTCATTTATTTTTTATTCATCCATCAATTTGTTTGTCTTCCAATGATTGTTTTCAATAACCTTCATTCATTCGATCTTTTCATTAGTCCGTTAGATGTTCAATTATGCATTTAGTATATCTCTCGTTCATCCATCCGTCGTTTCATTTACTCGTTCAGTCAATCACTCCATCTCTCATTTATCATCATTCATTTATCCATCTATTTTTCCATCTATCTTTCTATCGTAATATTTGTCAGTAATCCATCATACTTGCTTCGACCTACTCCTCATCCATCCATCCATCCATTCATCCATCCATTCAACCAATCCATCCATTCAACCATCCATCCATCCATCCATCCATCCATCTATTTGTCCGTCCGTCTGTCTGTCTGTCGTTTATCCAGTAATCCAACCATCCATTATTGATTATTGATTTAATAATAATTCTTTTGTAATTGTACGGTGAACCAACAGAGCACACACGCACATGCACGCATACACGCACACGCACGCATGCAGACGTACGCATGCACTCACAAACACGCACACAGCGAATGTGATACGCGTGAATTGCACGTGACAGGCTAGGAGGTCTCTGCATTCGAACCCAGCCTCTGCAGTCGCTGGATCAAGAACCGTAACCAATGCACTGTTTTGCTGCTATACTTTATACATTCATTCAATTATTCATCCATCTATCATTCATTTATTTATTCTTCCATTCGTTCATTCATTTATCTATTTATCCATCATTATTCGTTCTTCCATTCATACATCCATACATACATGCAGACCATCGGCAGGCAGTTTGAACAGTGACCCCATAGCTTATGAAGGTCACATCAAAGATCACGACTACGATGATGATGATGATGATGGTTATGATGTAAGTGGAGATGATGACGGTGGTGGTGGTAGTGGTGATGGTGAAGAATGATAATAGTGGTGATAAATGATGATGATGAAGAGGGTGGAGGTGATAGCTTTTAAAATGATGGTTGTAAAATGGTTCTGGTGAAATGTTTAATTGATAATGATCGGAATGATGAGAGTAAGCTATATATCTGGATGATGATGATGATGATGATAATGATGACGACCATGATGATGATGATGATGATGATGATGATGATGATGACGACGACCATGAGGATGATGATGATGATGATGACGACGACCATGAGGATGATGATGATGATGATGACGACGATGATGATGACTACCATGAGGAGAAGGAGGATGATGATGATGGTAGCGATGGAGTGATGACATGATGGTGACATTGTTAACTAGACAATTGTCCCTTTAATATCCACACAAAATAAGGTAATAAATGCACTGAGCATAATAATTCTCATGGAAAATTATTATTATGGTTATTTTTACGATGATGATTATAATTATTATTATTATTATTATCATCATCATTTGTTTTTCCAACTATTTTTCACCAAAAGGCGAAGACGCCGAACAACCTCAGAACATTCACGCCGAAACATGCCACACTCCCTTGCAACAACAACAACAATAACAATAATAATAATAATAATAATAACAATAACAACAACAATAACAATAATAATAATAATAATAATGAAAACCCTTCCTCCCTAAACACCTGTTCCTGCCTCAGTGATGATATGGGCTACGACGGATCTGATGACGTCAGTGTAATTAAATTCGTAATTCATTTTATACAATAACTATAATAATTTTTAATAATAATAATTATTATTGTTATTATTATTGTTATTATTATTATTGATGTTATTATTATTGTTGTTGTTGTTGTTCTCTCGTTTGAACAAGGATGAGTTTGTTGATAACTGTTTTATTGAGTGTTGTCCAGTGAGCTTGATTTCAGAAACATAGATGTGGTCTCTTATTATTATTATTATTATTATTATTATTATTTATTTCCAAAAATCAGACCAAAAATAAAAATCAAAAATAAAAATTATTATTATTATTGTTATTATTATTTATTTCCAAAAATCAGACTGGAAGCCGATTATTCAGTAGGCTAGTTCGGTCAGGTCAAAACCGCAAACAAACACAGAACAAAAACATTACAAAAAACATTACTAAAGAAATAAAAAAAGTTTTTTTTTGTAATTTTGTTGTGGCTCCGTTGTCTTTGTTTGCCTCTCACGTCTGCGGTCACCTAACTTGATCGAGTGGGTTATGATAATTCACTGGCTAACTTTGTTCATTCTATTTTGGAGCTTTCTTGGCTGTGGTTAATAAAATTATTTCCTTAATTAAAATAATAATAATAATATAATATAAATTATTTTTGCATATTAATTATACTATTAATAAGAATGGGAAAAACATTAAAGGTGCTAACAACATGCACAATAATGTGTGTTATTATTATTATTGTTGTTGTTGTTTTTGCTGCTGTCGTTATCAGGATATCTTATCATTTTTATTACTAATTTAATTTTATTATTATTATTATTTTCATTATTATAAGTGCTCATGTGAACGCTGTTATTATCGTTATCGCGAATTTTATTACAGTTATTATTGCGTTGTTGATGATGATGATGATGATGATGATGATAACAATGAACATGATGATGATGACAATGATGAGGATGATGTTAGTTGAGCAATTGTTGGCTTCTCAAATGGTACCAACAACTCATGAAATTGTCAACACGTAATGATATGATGAAAATAAGTTAACTACAACTACTGCTGTCGTTGTTGTTGTTGTTGCCGCTGCTGCTTTTACTGCTGCTTATCTTAACGCTACTACTGGCTTTTATATTATTATTATTATTATTATTATTATTATTATTATTATTATTATTATTATTATTATTATTATTATTATTATTCTTTAACATTTATTATTCGTTGTAATTATAAAAATTTAAATGATGAAAAAAATTATAACCGATGGAAGGATGGATGGTCTTTGATTTGATTTTCTTCATGAAGCTTACTTACGACTAATAATAATTGACCTCATTAGTGACCTTTGTAACAAAAAGAATTCATTCATTCATTCCTTCTCTCTTTCAGTCTTCCATGCACACGAGCGTCCGATCAACATGGCACCAACCCACCACCACCAACAACACCCTCAACAACCACCTCCACCAGGAACTCAGGTCGCCTCCCCAGCAGCAACTTCGTCAACAACCACAACAGACCAAAAAGTCAAATAGAAAAACTTTGAACATCTGCAATAATATCAGCGATGCTACTATCACCATCAATAAAAACAACTCCAACAACAACAACAGCAACATCAACAACAAAACCACAACACCAACTTCTCCGAAGACTCCTTCATTGAAAGCTGCCTTCTCCTTCTTCTTCCCAGACTCAATGAACAAATTGAAGAACAAACAACATCAAACTGCAGCATCATCACCAGCATCTGCAGCAGCATCATCATTATCAACAACCACAACACCGAAATCAGCAGCCAAGCACTCAACGATGTTGAACGCCACAGGCAACGTCGACTTATCGACAGCCACGACAGCCGCCGCTGCAGTTTCGCCGTCGAAAATTTCAAAAACTCTGCTGGCACTTTCAAAGCCTGCCGACAACATCATGAACATCTCTAAGGAGATCGCAAACATCGATAACCATAAATGACAATAACGACGACAACAACAACAATAGCAACAGTAGTACACAAGATATACATAAACAACAACAAAAGAAATAAAACCTTGTTGAAGGGCTAAATTTTAACATGTTTTAACATTTTAACATGTTTCTACAATTACGTAAAAAACCCTTTACATAACAATATAAACCATGTTTAAACGAACCACCAAACGTCATCACATCGACACAAACACACATGATACATAAACACACACACATCACAAAGCAACAATTCCAATGTTTATATTCTTAAAGAAGGATGCAGGTGCAACTCAAACACAATCCACACACACACACACACACACACACACACACACACACACACACACACACACACACAAACACACACACACACACGTACGACACTGCAAAGAACTTAAAACCTACTTCACTCAAGCAACTAACTGATCAAACTATGGGCTTCATTGTATCACATGCATTAATTATATTATATTAATCGATGATTCAGTCTCTTCTCTTGTTCATCGTAGTCATAGTTCCTCATCTTGTCATCACCATTCATTCATTCGTTCATTCATTCATTTATTCAATGGAGTCAATCTCTTGTACATTTCAGAAATTAAATTTTGAGGAGCATAGTAGGATGGTTAGCAAAGCTTGAATCAATACAATGTTCATTTTATATTTCAACGTATGATCTTTGTAATGAAGAAACAAACTATTATGTATATCTGTATCTATGTGTGTGCGTTTGTGTTGTGTAGTGTGTGTGTATGTGTGTGTGTATGTTTGTATGTGTGTGTAGATGTTTGTGTGTGAATATTTATCTTTCAGATATCATACATGGAGCGTGAATGACACACTTTTTATATACGTCTAGTAGTTTATTTGTATATATATATATATATATATATATATTATATATATATATAAGTGTGTGTGAGCGTATTATTTGTATTATTCATTCATTCATTCTTTCATTTATTTAATTATTTTATTTATATTTATTAAGGAATCATTTTCAAAAAGTCTGACGTTAATTGTTTTTTAATCTTTCGTAATAATATCTTCATCGGCCATTGCAACTTCAATAAATAAAAAATTTGAGTGACAGTTATGTTCTTTAAGAAATTTTATAAAAATTTTCATCTGCAATAAAATAATTTCAGTGGATTTTCCATACATTTTTGTCTTCACTTTGTTCGTACTTCATGTGTACGTTATAAATGTGCAAATGGTTACTAAGCCATGTGTGTGTGTGTGTGTATGTGTGTGTGTGCGTGTGTTTGTGTGTATATGTGTGTGTGTGTGTGTTAATAATTCAAGTTTTTTATGTCAGTATGGAATATTAAAATTTTTGACTGATCCTGATATTTATTTGAAATTAATTGGTGGCTCAACTGGCCCTACTTATCGCCAACTTAGTTTTAGTTGATGCCACGTCAGACAGATAACTAATGAGACGATGATGATGATGATGCGAATAAGATGATGATGATGATGATGATGATGGTGATTTCGATGATGATGATGACGGCAATTATGATGTCAATAATTTATTTAGTCAAATGTGATCTACCTATTAGAATTGATAAGTATTTTTTATTTAATTTTCTTTTTCAATGTTTCTGAAAAATTTCCACATTTTTGTTCTCCCTAATTGAATTGTTCTACGGCCAAACCAACGTTAAAGTGTGTCTCTTGAATGTTAATCTAGCAAGTTCTTAAAATTAATATAAAATGAAATAATTTTCGAAAAATTTTCCGATAAAATCATAAATGAATTAATTTTATTTTAAAGAATATTTTTGTGTTGAATATTTCAGAGCCGTTCATTTTGTAATGGTTTTTTTCTTTTTGAATAGCGATAACTTGACTGAACTGAAGTTTCTCATTTTTATGTTGTCTCATTTTGAATTAATGTCTTTCTATTTCCAGTCATTTTGTCGCACGGAGATCGAACCGTCATTTTAAATTTATTTTCAAATGTTTTAGAAATATTTTGAAAAATATTTTCAATTAATTTTCTATAATTTTTAAAGTTTGTGCATCCGTGTTATCTGATAATCACCAGTTAAGTAATTGAAATTAATTTAATCTTGCATTTTATAAATTAGTTCATTTTTGGAACAAAGGAAAGTTAATTAAAATGATTTTAGAATGACTCCGCAGCAAAGATATAACTTGCTCCATATGTTAAGACACATTGAAAACAAAATTGAAATTCATTAGGAGTGTGTTATTTTTGTTTGCAAGGCTAGCGTTTTTAATCTTGACGTAAGTGATGTTAAAATAAAATATTTTTGTGACATTTTTTCTATGAATAGTCTTCATTTTATTTGGTGCTCGATTGCTGCAACGTACAAAAACACTCTTACAAACACTGACACATCACACACACACACAAACATCACAATCACACAAACACAAAAACTGACACATCACACACAAACATCAGAGTGACACACACACTCACTCCTCATTCTCACTTTCAAGAACCGAACATTATATAATAATACACACTCATGCAGTCGATAACAATTATCAATAAACTAGGATATTCGTTTGTTTCAAAAATCTCCAGAAGTTCGCGATAATTTTCCCTTCGCTACTTTTTAATGTTTTTTTTTTTATAAAAGGGTTTTTTAAAGTGATCGTTTCAAAATTTATAATGATGGACTGCAACATTTTTCATACTTACCTGAAAGTATTTTACAAACACGAGACCTCTACTCTACTCAATAATCACAGTAGTCCATTTTATATATGCTTTTTCAACGTATCATTCATGTCCTTATTGTTTCAATTATGATTTTTTTGTGGGCCATTAGTGAATGAGGTTGTACACATTTGTCGAATAATTAATTGTAAGTTAAGGAGATTCTTTTGGATGATTTTATTATGTAATTTTTTTAATTCGTTTACTGTTACATGTCATGGAGGAGATGCACAATTTTAATTAGGGGATTTTAGAAAAAATAATTTCTGTCTCGTAATGAATTTCAATTTCAGAAGCAATTTCAAAATTATTTACAATTTTATATTTTGAGATAGAAGTAAGAAAAGAATTTATTTTATTCATGTACTCATTTAAAAATTCTGGACAAATATAAGTTTAGAGAGGCACATTTATAAACGAACAATCGTCATCGTACTTTCACCAAAAACGTATACATGCATTTATAAATGTTGCGTTACAATGTTTTTTGTCGGCTGAAGTCTTTATATTTTACTGCAAACAGTTTACCTGTATTCGCAAATGAAAAATTTCCGTTTCAACTTAGATATAATCTGCATATACATATATATATATATATATATATATGTGTGTGTGTGTGTGTGTGTGTGTGTGTATGTGTGTGTGTTTGTGTGTGTGTTGGGAAATTTATGATTGTTGTTGTGACTTGGAAAAGAAATGCAATAAATATAAAATAGATGTTTCTTATTTTCTTAATGCCTGTAAAAAACCCAAATTATCCCCGGTGGATCAGAAAGGGATGCATCGACAATAGATTATATGGGCTTATTGGTTGCAACTGTAGGGATCAAACTTCGTAACACAACTAAGAGCCAGTCTGTCCAGATGAACAATCTTCATTCTCGCCCTTGGCTTCCGACGTTCTTGAATTCGGTAGACGATGTCGTTCAATCGTAATTTTTCGTTCATCTTCTGTTTGTACTTTCTCTTCCAGTCGACTGCAGTATTTGCAACAGGGTCGTCGGGAAAGTGCATCGGCATTGCTGTGAGCGGTTTTTTTTTACAATGCAGACTGGAGACTTTACTCACGGGACTAGGGGCGTCAATTCTACGACCATACGAAATTGGCTTTCAAATAGTTTCCCGCCTCCTTGTTTGAGGCAGTCATTCGTTCCGCGGGGTCACCCTTTAATCGTTTATGCCATGTTGCGGCACAATGATGACAGTAATTGTTTCTAGGGCGTTTCTTACAATCTCGTCGAAGATGTCCTCTTTCTTCACAATTCCAGCAGTTTGGCGCACCATAATCTTGACTCTTCTGTTCTAGAACCAATTTCAAGCACGAACATTCTACACGAATTTTGTGCAGCTTTTCGTCAGCCTTTGATGCTTGTTTTGCTGAATCGATTTGAAGTTCCACATGGTTTTTCATACATTGTTGTCATTAGTTTTAAGATCATTTACTAAGCTTTAATATACATTACTGGTTGGGAAAAACATTCGTTGATTAATTTGTTACTACTATTTCAATTATATATCATTTCAATTTCAGCCATAGAAGAAATAACTCAGTATTTATCAAATATTTTATAACAAAGCCGAACAATTCCAACAATGAAAATGCAACTCAAAAAGCGAAATCATAAGCGACAATAATAAAGTTGTAAAAACTGAAAATTGGGCTGATGATCTTAATACTCCAACCGATGAAATTATTTACTATAATAGAAAACGCAAAATACTAAATAAGTTATTCAAAATTTCAGTGATTTAGTTAACGAAATTCGTTTTCATTCGATTTATTTTTCTCGATTCTTTTCTTGCTTTTTGTACAAACTGCTTACACACTCCTTTTTGTAGCGGCAATTGAACTTTAGTAATGACATACGTCCACTAAACGTTCACAAACATTTGTGTATACTGTATCATATAGATATTTTTAAAATTTTCATAATTTTTATAAAATTATAATCTAATGAATTTCAGCTTGTTTTCTTATTATACACTTTTTCACGTTTTTATTTAGAATACTTTGAATTAAAACTGATCCATTGAAAAAAAGTTAGAAACAAGTTAGAAAAAGTTTAACTTCAATTTAAAAGTTTAGCTGCAACTTTTTTCAATTATTTGCAACTGAAAATTTAACTAAAATTATTTTGTTAAAAATAAGTTAAAGTTTAACATAAAAAATTTAGTGCCCATCATTGGTTGCTGTTGAGAATGAAGAAAAGAAAGTCATGTAATTCGCAGACAGGGTTCATTATTTACACAGTGTGGGTGGTGTCAATAACTCCAAGACCACATTTCCTTATTAAGAGGTGTGACGAGATGTCTTCCATGGTCTTCCACGACCCACACCCCTGCATGCTGGATATTGTTGTTGTGCATGGGTTGCAAATCCCGCTGCTTGGGCTGTGCATATCGACTTCTTCCTCTCCCTGCTGCAAGTCCTCCTCTTCTACTCCTTTGCATCTCCCGTTTGTCGTCGTCAGTCCGTGTATGTTGACTCTTCGCATTTATTTTAATCTCTCTCCCATGCAGGATTGTATCGTTGAGTGTCAGCGCGAGCTCCACGGAGCCAGCGTTCACAAACTCAACGTAAGCGAATCCCTTCGGTTTACCGCTGTACTTATCGTGCAGAATTGTGGCTCTGACGATGACCCCGCAACTTCTATAATGATCTTCCAATTCATAAACGCTGGCACCGTAGTCGACGTTTCCAACCCAGATCGACTTTGTCTCGATTGTCGACTTGTCGGCTGTAGTTGAAGCGATGACTTCAACTTTTGGCGCAGACACTTTTGTTGAAGCAGCGATGACTGCGGTTGACGTTGCAGTTATTGTAACCAGCGTACATGCCACAGCGTTCAGCGTACGTTATGAAATGATTGTTTTTTAAACAATACAATAACGACTGTAATGTATTTGCCTTAAAAAAGCTGAAAAATGAATATTACAGTTTAAAATGAAAAAAATATGAAAAAGGCAGTTTAGCGGGGTGATCCGAAAAAAGATAAATGTGTGGAAATACTTTCAATTTGTAAGCATACACGCAAATACTTCAAATATACAGTAACAAATTTATATATTTAACAATCTTATATATTAACAAAAAACTATCCAACGCTAGAATTTTTGTAGATGTTGTAAATTCTTGTTTGTTCTGACTGAAGCGCCATTCACGGACGATAATATTTTTCGGCATTATTTCAGGATTGTTTATTTTTAAGCTGTTTGTTGATTCGATGCAGACTCTAAACATTGTCGATTCCTCGTCGTCCTTTTTCGGAGTTTTTTGGTTGTTGCTTGCTGACGTGTTGCCGTTAGGTTCACGGAAAACAAGAAATGAAGTTGATGTCGTTTGACATTAGAAACTCGATGATATCCTGCTTGTGACACTTGCGAATGTTGCTGATGCAGAAGACCGTTATTTTATCAGTGGTTTGTTCGCTTAGAGTTTCAAATTATCGACAACGCTCCTGCCAATAATTTTGTTTGGTACTTTCTTTGGGACGTCAGTATTAAGTTTGACGGCGTTGTTACTATCGGTTTCACTGCGAGTGTTGCTGCTGTTGTCTGAACGTGAACGCTTGTTTTTGCGCAAGTTCTCCACTGGGGGTGTCACTCTATTTGACCAGAGATTTTTATCCTGTAGCATGTTAACTTGCTGCGCGTTGTTTGTCGCTGGTCTTTTGTTGTTGACATTTTTACGACTTTCGCCAACAAGAGATTTAATTTTATTTTTCACACTTTCCAACTCAGTAGTGTATGACAAAAACATTTTATTAATTTCAGCTTGTTGACTAAAAACATTTCTTTTATTTGTTTGTTAGCAAAATCAAATTTTATTTTAAGCCAGTTTTCCGTATTCGGTATTTTTTTAATATCATAGCTGCAAAATAATGATATTTTATCTAACAAATTATTTTTAAGATACCTGAATAAAGACAGGCACTCCAAAAGTTTCTCAAGTTTTGAATTCTCGCGCGAGGGAAATTTTTCTATTTTGTCTAATATAATTAATTCAATTTCACAGTTTAATGTTTTTAATCGTCATTAGGAAAAAACTCACTAGTATTATTAATAAAATTCTTCTAATAAATTTAAATTATTATTAACGAGATAAAGGAGCTCATTTATTTTGACCGGTCTCGACGCCATTTAGACGTGCTTGCTAGTTACGATTAGACTGGCAATGGCTCGTTTCTCATCCAGTACGGGCTAAACTTTGTGCAGACGATGGGTGTCATAATACTACGAGTGTCTCTTATACCGTTAACACACTGTTTTCACAATCCGTTTTTGAGATATTACAAAAAGGCCATTACGCGTTCGGTTGGTTTGAGCGAAACATGAAACTTCATATTTTTCAGATATAAATAGATTATTTTTCAAAAAATTTCATGTTCGCTTGATTTGTTTGTTTCTTATGAAAGTTCTTCCATTCCATCTCCTATAAATATTTTTGTACGCATCGGGATTGACAAGAAAAGTGTGATGTCATTGAAAGGGGATCTCCGCTGTTGGAACCGATATTATTTGCATTAAAATCACAGGTTTTTTCGTTAACTATTCGTTTTTAATTGTTAATTTTTATGAATGATATTGCAGTAGCTCATGTTAACACAGTACGTGTAAATTATTTATTTATTTATTTAACAACTGACCAGAGGGCATCAAGATGCCTCTTACCCAGTCAGAAAAAAAATGAACTAAATTCAACATAAATGGCAGAACAGAAAAAAAAAAGAAAATTTTCTATTAAAAAAGATATGTCACATGTCATCATTTCAATATGTCAGTGATTTAATGCAACAAAAATTCAATCAAAACGAGATTAACATGAACCATGTATTCTATTTATATGACATAGACCGATATATAGTTCAAATGGATAAACTTTATGAAATAAACGTTTTAATCGATCAACATGCGTTGTTGAAATTAGTGATAACTATTGATTTATTTTATATGCATTAAATGTTTCATTTATATGCATTATATGCATTTAAAGCGTAAAACGTTAAAATTAAGTTTATTCCGCAACGTGTCTCTTGGTTTATATTTATAACCCGAAACATAAATATTAATTAATGACTGTTTTCACTGAAAGCATATGTCTTCTCGATTGTTAAATTAGCATATCATATTATATTATTCAGAAAATCTATCATTTGGCTGACATTTATTAGTTTTGAAAATGGTAGGCCTAACGTGTTTTGCACCAAACTGTAATCATTATCCTGAAAGACAGTAGGAAAAAATTCGTTTTTTTGCTAAGCGTCTAAAAGTAGAGATGGATGAATTTGATGTGACTTTGGTAATAAATTGCCAAAGATATCGCAAATGTTTAAATTATCATTGGTAGTTTGCTTTCCAAAGAGATCCACAACCTTTCTCGCTTTGAATAACTTCGTTGTTCAACTGGACTTTGAGAACCACAAAAACGTCGGATGGATAACAATTTTGTATACGTCAACCGAAACAACAAAATCAGCAAATGTCCTCTAATTTATTGATACTGTTCATAAAACAAAACCATGCGCACTTGCAAGTCTAAGGAATTTATTTGAAACGACGTGTCGTTAGTCAAGAAATATAATAACAACTGAACTTGCAGAATAATAATAATTTCCACGCACGTTATTTACACACACACCACACACACACACACACACACACACACACACATATTATAAATGTACAGAGAATCTTATAAATTCCGTTTAGCCGAACATCCCGGGCAGGAGTGCAGGGACTCGTGAATGAAAATATCGCAATCCGTACAAAATGTGTATGTGCACTTCTTACATCTGTATGCCTGCATGTGTACAACGGCGTTGTCAGTGATGATAATGATGATGATGATTCAAGGTTGTGATTAAAATCGATGATGAAGAAGTGAGTAATGACGTTGGCTGGTGAAGTTATGGTTGAGAATGTTGGTGACAGTGCACTCCTAATCAACTGAATAAAAAACAAGCACACGATCAAATGAACGGGCTGCAGATAGCGAACGTGAACATGAAAGCGATTAACATGAACACGTAAATAATTAACATACACATAAACATAATTAACATAATGAAAGTGAACATTAGCGTAATGAATAAAATATCATGAAGGTTAGCTCAGTTGGTAGAAGTGCCGTCTAGTACAGTTACGCGAGGACATGATTCGAACACTGTCTGACCGAAAACCAAAAACTATCACACGTTACGAGTGTATGATGTTTGTGAATATACGTCGTGTGGTATGGATGTATTGAGGAACGAAGGCTTCAATAGATTTCCGCGCATGAACAAACCACAAAAAATGAAATAAACATGGACTTGAACGTGAACACAATAAATCAAAAGATGAACATGAATGAACGAGCGCGATGAACTTACGTTGGGTTCGTTCAATCCTCTCTGACATCCGTGGCAGAAGCTGTTTGGATTCAATTTTGTCAGATTTTATTGCCAATTACTTGAATAAACCATTGTGAAACAGTCGGTGTATATATATATATATATATATAAAATATATAAATATATATATATATATATTTATATATATATATATGTATATATATATATATATATACATACACGTATCATATATGACCAACCAGCCATCTAACCAACCAGCCAACCAACCGATTCTTCTTGAAGATATTGATAGCAAGAACCTCCTCGAATGCCTCGAGCGGGAACAAGTGGTGGTAGGAGCGAGCCAGGTGCGCCGATGAAGCCAGTGTCAATCCTGTTCAGCATTCGTTCGACCAGCAGAACGATCGTTGCGAATGGAAGTAAATAAAAAATTAATCACAGTCTCATTTTGAAGGTTATTAAAACAGCTGACGTTCGAGGATGAATGATGATGATGATGATGATGTAGGTTGGTGTCGAAGCAAAATGTAATCTACAGGAATCTAACTACTAAAACATCCAAAGTGATAGCTAGCTACTGAAGATGAACATCAACGAAGCCCAGAAGAAAAACTATAACTAGCAATCAACATATCATAAATGGATCAACTACAAGAACAAGCCAATCATTCCATATTTCAACCAACATTTCAACCAACCAACCAACCAATCAATCAAGAATGTAACTAACGGGACAATCACTTACCACAAACAGTGCACTCGACAGGCAAGTCACAGTACTTGCTACCACACTGTGGGCAGATATATCCATTCTTCCCGATGCAATCTTCAACGTTGCCACTCCCTGCATGGCTGCAATCATTCAATCATCATTTAATTCATTCATTCATTAATTCATCCATTCATATACTCGGTTATTTATTTATCAATAAAAAGACCAAATATTTATTTCATATAATCAATCATAAAACTATCCCACCAGTGAACCAACCACCCACTAAGCACTTAACACAGCCAGCATGCTTGATTGATGATGAGGTGGCGAATCAGTGGTTTTCAGATTAACGATGATGTATTATTACTCAATGATGACGACAAATAACATCACTAATGTAAGAAGTCAAAATGATGATGACGACGACGCCGACAATGGTGACGATGTCACAAATGTCTATCATGATAACTGATGATGATAAGAACACCACTGATGGTGGCAATGATAATAAAGTGACGCCACGTCATTTTCCTGTCAATTTATTCCATCACATTAAACTCTCGACTAACCACATGCAGATGATACTCTTCATCAGAGCTGATGTCTCCAACTGCGGAAATCCCATGCGCACCAATGATATCTCTTGCATTGCCTTGAAAGGAAATATATACACGTATGTAATGTAATATATGTATGTAAGTGTGAGTGTGTGTGTATGTATGTATGTATGTATGTATGTATGTATGTATGTATGTATGTATGTATGTATGTATGTATGTATGTATGTATGTATGTATGTATGTATGTATGTATGTATGTATGTATGTATGTATGTATGTATGTATGTATGTATGTATGTATGTATGTATGTATGTATGTATGTATGTATGTATGTATGTATGTATGTATGTATGTATGTATGTATGTATGTATGTATGTATGTATGTATGTATGTATGTATGTATGTATGTATGTATGTATGTATGTATG